AAAATATTAATATTATTATTATTAGTTTTGGTCGACAATGATAGTGTCGGAATTTTTAAAGCACTTCATAATCCATCGATTATATATAGTCCACTCGTTTGATACCAGACAATTATCAAAAAAATTCTGAACATTTACAGGTAAAAAAAATTAACAACTTGAAAGGACTTCTAAATGTACAAAAAGATACTATTAAGTCTTGTATCACAAAATTAGAGGGCTCAACAAGGACCAAAACAATTTGAATCCATTTTGAGCTAGAACAAAAATTGCATAAAATTAGAAAATTATCAAAACGACTAAGATGGATTGTAGTAACTATTTTAAAACGACATTTCGAATTTTAAAATGGGTCCAATCTTGTAAGAATATTGAGAGCACTCTACTATTTGTCTCACTTTTTTCTTGCACATCTTAAGGACCACTTAACTCATTTTGAAATTTAGAAGTGTAAATTTATATAATCCAATAGAGTAATACTACAGTAATGGGCAAGTGCCGATGAATTTTATAATTTTATAGGTCAAGTATCGTCAATTTTATTATTTTCCAATCTGCATATATAAGATAGATGTTCAAGTAGGGCAGCTATAAATGTGCAAACTCGTGTTGAATTAAATAAATTGCTCAAAAATAAGAAGTTACTCATGTGTTCTCATTAATTGAGAATGTTTTGAACGAATAATTGTGTATACATAATTAACCTTTATCCTTTTGTCATAATAAAATGTGTCTGTCTACATTTGAACCCATATTATTATTCTTCACAGTTCAAATTTCTATTTTAATACGTTTGCTCAAACTGAACTTCAAAAATTAATAAGCTTCAAATTAAAGCTCACACTTATCTCCTTTACCCCACACACGACTTTGAACAAATTTACATTTAAGCCCAATTTCAACATAAGCTTGGTAGTTTGCTTGACATGATAATTATATGGATTTTGTTTTTTGTTCACTTATGAGGATATATTAATTATCACTTTAATTGTAATATATATATATATATAATGCTATTGAGACATATTTTCTCTATCACAAAATAAGTGTCATGCTTTTTTTTTTTGTCTGTCCTAAAATAATTGTCCACTTTTCTTTTTTCAAATAATATATTTCACATCTTTTCATTTATATTCTTTGAGTTTAAAATTTTAAATCTAAATACTAAAAATTTAAAATAGCAAATTAGTAATTTTTTTAGAGAGATAAAGAGTAATTGTTTAACTGAGAATACTATGGGACAGATTTCTATTCCTTAAATCCTTTAAATGCATTGCATGATGGTCTATCCGAAAGTTAATAACGGGAATGTCCCAGCATCATTATCCTTGTAAACTTTTAGGTCCTGTTTGTTTTGTTAATTTATTATAAATTTTGTAATTTGAACTAATCATGAATCATGATAGGTGAGGGAGGGAATCTAAGATACAGTTGGTTAACTACCTCCAAAATGATATACATACGCAGACAGCGATGTTGTGTGTGAAGTTCTCCAAATCGATACATTTGGCATAATAACCTATATATATGTACTTACATTAACGAGAGTTGATGTTTGGCCAGACACAACAAATCATTAAGTAGACAAACAAGGCCTTAGAAAAATGGTTTATGGTCTCCATTTGTTGCAAGTTGCTAACTTTGATGCTTTTAATAATAATCAATATATATATATATATCAATATATCACCACTAATCAGCAGCTGGGTAGCACGCGAGGTGACACAATATTGCTCATTGATCCAACACCTACCATGTGATGGCCCCACAAAATAGATTCCTGGGACCATAATCAATCTGATTGAATGATCATGGCCGTTGGATCTCGAGGTAATTTACAACTGTACTGTTTCAACTTTTGAATAGGTCAAGTGGTGAAATGGTCCCCCAAAAAGAAAGAAAAAGCAACAATACCATTAACTTGTAATTTTATCATTTTAGAATATCTAAAGTACAGCTTGACTATGTCATTCCAACTAACCAAGTATAATAAGAGGCTAACAAAAGAAACAACAGAAAAACAACATATACATATATTTGTGTGTGCTTGTATGTATATGCGTGTATATATATTGTCTTGGAGGAGAAATTTTTGACGCTTGCAAAGAAATGCAAATACATTTTAAAAATCTTGACTATGAAAAGCGTTAATAAAAAATTATGAATACAGAGCATACAAAATAGGTAATTTTTACGCATAATGAGCCCGAATCCAAGCCCGAGCATGAAATAGGTAGGACTTATTTTAAAAGGAGAATCTTGCTTTGAAGTCCATGAAGGAAAGGTAGTGAAATATATATGTCAAAAGGTTAGATAAGCTGGTGGTGCTACCTATTAATTTACTCTGCTTGGGACTAAAGGCTTTCTTTAGTACCACCCCTGATTTTGTAGGTGAGTCAGGTCACCCTTTTTCTCCACTCCACACCAAACTTTTTTCTTAAGAACCCTATCTTCAAGTGACCACGAAATAAAAATTATACAAAATTTATTAGAGTTTTTAGTGGAGGAAACAAACTGACCCAAGTAATATCCCACAAGGATATTACGGTCACTTCAACAATTCATCCTAAGAACACTTCAACCTTACTGTATATGATTGTATGTACACATACATATACATTATTTGTCCCTTCTAGTGTTTAGGATTAAGATATTCTATTATTAGAATTTTTTTTTTTTTCATTCTTGTTTTATATTCCAAATTACAAAGTTAAAAAATTTGTATATAAAATTTTCAAGTAATTGACTATACCTACATCTTTTTTTGAATTTGTTTTAGACATATTTTATTTTTTTAAAATAGTTGCCACCAAAAAATGAATTTTCCAAAAAAAATATGAATAACAAAAGAAATTTCTTGAGTGGAGGGTGCCTGTGAATAACTTTTTGATGTGAGGGATTTAGATAAAAGTGCCTCGCTTCAAAGCCGCCGCCGACGTTCTAGTATCTTTATATAAGCATCTTTATCGGTTTTAGATAATTAGAGAAAGTAAAGATGGCGAACAATAGTGTGAATAAGATAAAGGCATAGAACGGTTTTAGATAATTAGAGAAAGTAAAGATGGAGGAGAACAATAGTGTGAATAAGATAAAGGCATAGAAATATATATACTATGGTTATGTTTGGTACAGTAAAACAAAAAAAAACACAAAGAAATTGTTACGACCCACTCCATTACGATATTATTCATTTTGGATTTGAACGTGCACGATTTTATTTTTGACTTTTATTCCGAAAGATTCCATACCAATTGAAAATAACACAATCACATATAAGTACTTCAGGTGGTAATATGGAATTGTGCCCACCCTTTCGACTGATCAGGCTCTAATATTATTCTGTAACAACCCACTTCACCGTATGAAAGACAAACCCGATTTATCAAAGCTTCGAAATTATTTCATCCATTTTTTTCTTTTCAAAATTTTATACCAAAAAAAAAAAAAAAAAAAAACTATATCCCTTCATTTCCCTTCATTTCTTTTTCTTCCATTTTTTTTTTCCCAACAAAACTGAGCCTATTGGTGGGGTAAAAAAGAAACGAGCAAAATCATAAGGGTAAAAAATGATTACTGGCACTTATACATGTATATATATATATATCATATATGCAATAATAAATTCATACAGTATATTTGATGTTTTGTGCATATATATATATATATATATATATATATATATATTATTATGTGCTAGTGTCAGCCCACCCCCATGTGGACGAACAATAAAAGTTAGTTGAAATTGTCATCCTACCAACCTAAGAAAACAACCTTGTTATTGTAAAACGTCCATTTGCATCCTCTTAACACAAGTAAAATTTACAATCGAAGAAGACAAACTTTAAACATAATTTTAATTCCCTTTATAAAAATATCATCGATCTGCAACAAGTACAATCTTGAATTCAAGCGCTCTGAAATCTAAAGGACTCTTCTATTTTAGTGCTCATTACTCGGTGTTCTGAATAATTGTGCAGACAGTCTTGAAATTTGGCCACACATTCTTTATTCACTCGAGCTGAATAATTCTCATCTATCTTTTCTAAGTAGTTGGCAGTTGGGTCATTTCAGCTTAAACTTTTCAATATATATATATATATATATAAAATTCCTTGTTAAAAAAACAATTAAACTATTAGACAGTAATACATAACACTTTGTACATATTCACCAATCCTCCTATCATCTCAATTCAATTTGAGTATTATAATTTATTTGAACTTGCAACGTTCCCATATTAGTATTAACACTAATCTCATGTGAATTCCATGTGAGTATTCTTCCTTATTTAAACTCGCAATGTCTGTATTGGTAGGGTGAACTCAGACAAATTAATGTGCAATCCTTTTTCTTTTTGACGCTTTTTAACTCCCTCAAAAATCAAAGGTACTGTAATTTAGTATTACTTCCTCACATCTCAAAAGAGAAAGTCGAGGGTTGAAGTTTCCATAAAGACATGTGAGTGTGTGAGTGTTTTTCTTATTTCCGATACTTGACATGACACCGGATCAATGATTAAATTTAACTCTACTGATATATACTCAACACTTTTCTTATCCAAATATAATATGGAGCAAGAACCTCTAACACTAATCGAGTGCACGTGCGATTGATGTAGGACGGTTTTATTAAGTTTTATATTATTTTTATTTTTTATAATTTAAAAAAAAATTAAATTTAGGTTTTTAATTTCCTTCAACCATTAGTTTTTTTTATATTTTTAGTTTTTTTTTTTTTTTAGATTACCTTATGTTTTTTATTTTATCCTTTTACTAATAATATTTCAAATTTTTTTTTGTATATTTTCTTCTACTTTGTGAATTCAAAGAAACCATGATCCTCGGACTACCATCATTTCGAGATCTAGATAGGTTCCTATTTATTTATTTTGAACTTGTAACCTCTAATTAAATATATATATATATATATATATATATATAATGTCTTTTTTTGTTTTCCTTTTTTCTTTAATTTTTGTGTTATAAAGAAAGCTAAGCTGGCTTGGTACTTTAAACATTAAGGCCAGCCTTGTTCACAAGCACCTGCAAACAGGATAGAGAGAGAAAGAGAGGAGAGAGAGCCATCATTCCAAAGCAAAAGCAAAAGATAGAGAGAGAGAGAGAGAGAAAGGGGAAGATAAACAGAGAAATTCAATCAAGGAAGAAGGGTTTCTGAGAAATATTATAGAGAGAGAAAGAGAGAGAGAGAGAGAAATGATGCAAACACAGCAGCAGCAACAACAACAGGCACTGATGCAGTCAGGGCAAATCTCAGGGAGCCTAAGCTTCAACGGTAGTCTAACCAAAGAAGACGAAGAGATGTCAAAATCAGCTCTCTCTACCTTCAGAGCCAAGGAGGAAGAGATCGAGAAGAAGAAATTGGAGGTCAAGGAGAAAGTTCAGGCTCAGTTGGGTCGCATCGAAGAAGAAACCAAACGTTTGGCCACCATTCGTGAGGTACATATCTGCTATGTGTGTGTGTGTATATATATATATATATATGAGTTTAGGTACTAATAAAACCAAAATAAGATGATTTGATTATATTAAACTCGATTTCCTACAAAAGAGAGATGAAATTTGATGTAGTTTTCTTCTATTTTTGGGGGACATAATTTCTTTGAACTACATAATTTTTCATGTACATATGTATATGAATTTAGCTACGGATTAGACCAAAATAAGTTGATTTAATTATATGTCTAGCAAATTAAACTTGCTTTCCCTAAAAAAAACATGAACTTTTGATGTAGTTTTCTTCAATTTTTTTGGGTAAAGAATTTTGTTACTGTTATGCAGGAAATTAAGAGAAGCATCTTTGTAAAGTTTGTCTCTTATTTCTTGGGATATATGTGTATGTGCGTGTATATCCAGAAAGTTGTAGTTGTAGATTTAGTTGATTTAGGGTTTTATATTTTTCGTTATGTTCTTTTAATTTATAGAACAAAGGAAATCAAACTATGTGTGTATTTTCCATCATTTTTTTTTCTATGGGAAATTGGGAATTAATAGAACTCTATGTTTCTTCAAAAAAAATTAGTAACTTACTTTTTTGTTGTATGTGTTTTGTGACATGTTTTCTTTTTTGGGTACAGATAATTTTTATCATTTGTTAGATCAATTAATCCAAGGCTTCTTATCAATATAAACCCTGTAAAAAGGCCATATAGTTTTTATCATTGATAGTAATAGGTATAATATGGAAAACATTAGTTATAGCTAATTTCATGTAAGGTGTCAAAGTGGTAGTAGTTATTTAACTCTAATTATCTATAAATAACAAGTGTATTTTTTTTAATTAAAAAAAAAAAAAATAGGAGCTTGAAGGGCTAGCAGATCCAATGAGGAAGGAAGTTGCACTTGTTCGTAAGAAGATCGACTCGGTCAACAAGGAACTAAAGCCTCTGGGACAGAGCTGCCAGAAGAAGGTAAAACATTACCACCTATGGTACTATTAATATTCAGATTATATCAAAATATGATTCTCACAGATTTCATGAACATGCATAAAGATCACAGATTTCGTGAACATACATAAAGATCAAAATTATTAGTTCAAAGAAATGATTGTACAAGAAATTTCGATTACTGAATTGGTGGTATTAATTTGTCACAGGAGAGAGAGTACAAAGAAGCTCTCGAGGCTTTCAATGAAAAGAACAAAGAAAAAGTGCAGCTGATTACCAGATTAATGGAGGTGAGTGTTTATGTGTTATATATTTCTTACTTGAAATAAAAGCATATATGTATGTATTTTTCAACTTCAATGTCTAATTATTCTTGTTTAAATGTGCTCGACTTTGTATTTTGTATTGATGGACCAGCTGGTAAGTGAAAGTGAGAGATTGAGGTTGAAGAAATTGGAGGAGCTCAGTAAGAGCATAGAAACGATACACTGAGATGATCGAATGCTGATGAATATGATTGACTAATTAGGCTCGTGTGATGTATTTAAGTTTTACTCCTCTATTTATATATGGGTGTCTCGGGTTTGTTGTATTCTATGGTTTTTTCTTGTTTGTTTGATTAGCCTTTGTTGGATCATTTGCTGATTTAGGAAGTGGAATTACTTTAAAACAGGTTTGTAACTAAACAGGTTTCGACTTCGAATTTTCTCCTCATTTTTTTTCCCCTTATATTCATCCTTCAACTGTCTCCTAAGTTCTGTATAAATGTTATGTATGTGTGTTTGGAAGAATGGATGGCTTATATTCATAATCAAATTGTTGGACAATAGACTGAGTTTATTGTTCAGATTGTTTGGAAATCACTGCTCGCGAGTGATTACTTCCGGGTTGAAATTGCAGGTATTTTATGTATCTGCACTAGGCCATTAGAAATCACCATAATTGGAATTAGGAGTTATTCTTCTTCTTTCAAATTGCTCATTTACATGCATTCCTAGCAAATGATATAGTGGGTTAACAAGGTGTTGATTATATGGGATTAATTGATTGGCTAGTCCTCAAGTGTCGTTTGATGGTTTTGCTTGTTTGTGAACTCTATTGCGGTATGTGATTGAGGAATGGTAGTGTTTTAGTTTTCTTGTACTGGTTGCCGGGATATGTATCCATTACCAACCCTGTTTGTGGCAGGGAGTGCTTTGGCTCTTATTTATACCATACTTGTTGCTTGCTTGTTGTGAATCGGGACATTGAATTTGAAATTGAAGAAAATTTATTACAGAGTTGGAATTAAATTTGTCCTAGTTTCAAGTTCAAGTTGTTGATTCGATGTTCTTAAACATAACTACGAGTCATTGTTGGTGTAAGTCATTGTTGGTGTAAACAAATGATGGTATGTTCGGTTCGGGATACACCTTAAAAAAGATTGGAATGTTTAGTATATATTCTAAATTTTTTGATAAAGTACATATTAAACCGGACGAAACAGTATGTATTGTTCATATGGTGGGATATTTTTCATGTTCATACCGCCAAGGTTGTAAAAAGGTGTCTATTATGCTTTGGATCACAATACTGTGTTCTTTGGGACATATTCAATAACAACTATGATATTTATTATCTGATTATCAATTGTAACCTGTCAATTAAATTTGGAGATATTTGTACTGTTTGGAGAGCCTACTAAATTCATTTATTAGTACTTCATTTATAAATTTGGAGATATTTGTACGTTTGGCATCCACTTCCTATTTGTTTACTACATGGTAGTACTTCATATATAATAGTATCATACATATATGACTCAACTTATATTAGATTGAATACAAATCCCATCCTTTTTTTTTTTTTTTTTTTTTACAGCGATTTGAAAGTGTGTATATATATATATGTATCTTTGGTTTTGGGATAATTAAGGAGCTATTATTGAAATAGACCGAGGGGTGTTTTAAACGACTACTAAAACAAGATAATAGGACACTTACATACACAATTTTTTTCTCTTTGATCGATGACGTTAGTGTCGGGTTTTTTAAAACATTTCTTAATCTATCAATGGACGCATGTAACTTTCCATCTCAAATATAGCAGAATAGACTAAAGGAAATTCGGACGCCCATTTAAGTTTGTGTTTTTGTGTGTGCAGTAGGACACTATCTGACGGCTTCATCAATCATCACCTAAATGAATTGTTTTTGTTCGTTAGCAATAAATCTGTAACATTTTATGTGGTGCATGTTAAGCACTCATAAGTTGTGGTGTCCTAAAAATAATTAGGGTTTATCAAAAGAGAATCCAATTGCTAAACATGTTTCAATTATGATATGCGTGGTTAGATATGGATCAACTGTTATAACCACTACAACTACCCACAAGCGAAAGATGATGTTTCTTTTTGAATTTGAAATTTGTGTCCTTAGCATAAAGTAAGATAAGACAAAGCTGACACATATATGTGTTGACCCATCAAATAATTATGTTTCACTCTAACTACTGCAATCCCAAACAACATGAGTGGGAAGCATATAGCACCAGCTGGAGTGGACCATCAATTTTATGTAAACTTTGGTAATGGTAATCATTTTTATAGCATTTTATTCCCAATGTGCAAATATTTCACCCATAAACAAGGCTTCTCGGTAAGGGTAATGTGTTTGTTAAAAAAGAAAAAAAGAATTTTGATAACCGAGGGAGTTCCACAGTAAAATTGATTTGAATTGGTATAAAGGAAATTTTTTCTATAATGAACAAAATTAAACATGTCAAAATTTCACATTTTCTTGTTTTTTGAATTATTGAAAAGGTTTTTAATAAATTCCATTAAGTGCATTTTCATAATTTTTTGGGTCTAACAACCCGCCCTCCTGGTAAACACAATATAATGATGCCCTTTTTTGGGTCTAACCAAATGAAGTAGAATTTGGTTCATAAGCTTTAGATGATATGGTAGAAGAAAGGTCATGGTATTGTGGAGGTAGTCTTGAGTCTTGATTCTTGACCAAATGTACCAAATTGACCCGCGGTAGACAAACAAACAACGATCAGTTGATGGGGATTGGATTTCCACGCCCCGGATTAGGCGCAATTGGGTTGACCAACATTCCACTACACCAATTATTTAATTCCGTTTATTTATTTATTTTTGGTAGCAAATTAAGTTTAAGAAGGGATTCAAATACGAAACATTCATTTGGGAGTTCGACACTTTACCGACTACTAATTTTGTCAAGCTTCAATCAATACTCTCACTAAGCAAATTTAATATATTATGCATTAAAACATCATTTTGAGAAATCAATACCTTAACTTCGTGAATGCATCTGTAATCTTTAGAAATAGTAATATGTGAATGCATTCTCAAATTAATGAGTAACGCATTCTTGAAATAAATGAGGGTTGTATTCTTTAAATGCAAAACAAAATATAGTAAATGGTTATAACCTAAGTCACACAATCTTTTTTAACGGGTGTTATTTCCGAGCGTGCTCTCGTTCCCACGCTCCGCCGCGCGCTTTGGCTATTTATGACTATTTATGACTTAATTCTACTGCTCTCGAATGATTCTTATTTTATGTGACTTGAGTTGTAACTTGGTCTCATACTAGGTTGGGTAGGTGGGCTTGTTTTAATCCATGAGATTGGGTTGCATTCTTTTGGGCTTAGGCTTTTGTATTCAAGATCCGATTTAGGTGAGCCCATCATTGCATGATTACTTATTTTTGACGAATTTAAACAATTATTTTAAAATTAGGATTGAAGCCCAACTTGAACTTAAATTAGATTGGGCTTCTGAATATAAATTGATATTACGTATGTTATATAAAAATTTACAATTGTGTTCAATATTTTCTCCCTTTCGTTATTTTTTTTTTTTATTTTTTATTTTTGTTGTAGTTGTTCTTAAATCTTGATTTTTCTTATATTAAATTTTTGAAAAATTAATTTCTTCAAAATTTGTTTATAATTTTTCATATAACTTGTAGAGGAGAAAGGTTATTTTGGATTGGACTGAACTTGAACCAGATTTTTTATCTTGGGTCAGTGCTTGGGGTTCACCCTTCAACCTGTTCAAGTTTCTGACCCGGCTGAATTGCACCCCTATTTAAAACTGGTTCGGGCTGCATGTCAATTGTTATATATATATTTTTGGTAGGAAAAAAAAAAAAAAAAAGAGAAGAAAAAAGTAATTAAAAGATAGGTTAGGGTGGTCCTATGTCATATAATAAGGTATGGCCAAACGTTAGGAAATCGAGGCAATGAAAGAAGAAGAGACATGAATGTTGAGAATATATCTGATAAATTGATGATGAGGTAGCTAGTGTCAAATATAGACTAATAAACCAGACACGTTTTGATGATTATAACATGGATGGAACTCACGTTCTTCATAAGGAGAATATCTATGTATATATGTATCCATTCTATCCATATCTTAGGTTTGGTTTTTGTTGACCCCATCCATTCCCATGAACCACCTCCTTAGTCATGACTAGATTAAAAGAATCCTTCACTATATAAATAAATATATATATATATATAGAGAGAGAGAGAGAGAGAGAGGTGAGAGAGCGGGGTTGTCCTGTTCTTACCAAGATCAGGAGGATGATTTGAATGTTCCCTGTTAGAGTGACTTCGTGTGAAGAAAAAAAGAAAAGGAATTGCAAAATTGGATTTGAATTTGTGTTGGTCTTTGGTGGCTTTTAGTGTACACAGAAATGGCCTTCCCCGAAAAAGGTTTACATGAAGAAAGGGACAAAAGTATGACAACAGAGACCGGCAAAGCAGCAAATTAATGACACACCGTTTGTTTCCATCTGTACGTGTGGTCGGTCAACTTGAGGCGTTGCGCCTTTGACTCTTCTACCCTTATTTTGCAACACGCAAAATTAAGGATGCACCACTGTTTAATCCAGAATTCAACAAAATTATTACAATGCTGTGCCCATTTATATATAAATTGATAATGCAATACTCAATAACATCAAACAAAAAAAAATAATAACAATATATAATATTTTTTCTGTTTCAAATTAAGGGTCAAATATGAATTACAATTTTTAATGATAACATTTAATTTGAAACGAAATGAATTGACACAGTTGTATACAAGCTGTATGTGATTGGTGCGGATCATGAGACAAAAATTTCTGATATAACAGATGATCCAGTCCAGTTGAGAAAGAGGTTAACAAAGTTGCACGTAATTGCCATTCATCCATGGACACGTGGGTGGGGGAATAGGGTGGGAATAGTCCTCCGGAATTGGAATTGTATGCATATGCGTGCACCGAGTTGACGGTGCATTTATACATCCAGAGTCCTCCGCTTTGTCCTCCTCAAATCATAATAATAACAAAATTATGCCGATCTTTGGTGGGGCCACGCTGAGATTTGGAAACACACAGTGCTTAACTACTCGTGTACGGTTTTCTATTCGCTAGACTACTTGAACATTACCAAACTGTCCTTGTTGACCAAAAACCGCATTTTGTGGGTTTTCTTAATGCGGAGTGTACTAATTCCTTCCCATTGAAGAGAAAAGGAAAAATAATCCCCCCCAAAAAACATGTGAAATGTATGTGTTTGGTAAGGGAAATGGTGAGGAAGGAATCAAACATAATTCTGAAATTAAACCCATTTTTTTCTTAATCACCTCACTTAGTAGTGGTTTGGAGACAGACTATTTTGACATTAAGGGACATCATTTTTTTAGTTTTTTTAAAGCTATTGGATATATCATTTTTCTTGTGCATATATTTCTCTACTAATAAAACAATTTTTGGAATCTTAAAAAAAAAAAAAAAAAATCTTAAAAATTTCTCCTCAGTTGTTCAGGCAGCAAGATTTCTCATATTTTCATCTAGTTTGAATTAACACAAGATTTGGATCAGTTCAAGAATTTATGGACTAATCCAACTTTGTTGCTCTTCAAGAATTTGACTAAGGTAGAAAACAATCCGGTCCAACTTTATTTGGAAAGTGCAAAATTTGTTTCCCTGTTAGTTTTGGAGTCTCCGAAACTTATGAGGAAGTTGGTTGGGCACACTCAATCGAACAGCTGGACATTTTATCAACTAAGTTACTGAATAATGTCAAAGTTAATTTCCTTTAAGAGAGACTATTTGTATGAACTCTGATCAAATTTTAGAATGTAGTACAATTGAGAGAGAATTGTATTGTGCTACACAAAAGAGAGACCAAATCTGAAAAATTGAGAAGAAAATTCATCTTTTCATAAAGAATTTGTTCAGTGCCCCCTATGAACACTGTCCTAACTTTGAATGAATAATTTTTATATAATTATTTATTTTTGTTTGTGATTTGTTTACGTGTCTTTAACTCTCATTTATATGTTGTCTAGGATTTCCGCTACAATAAATTATTACCACTTCTCCACGATCACTAGCTTAATTTTATTTATTTATTTATTGAGAAGCGAGTCGGTAATGGTTAACCAAGGAATAAGACACCACCAACAATTGATTTGACCTTCTTAAACATAAAATACATCCATTATAAACATATCATATGTATGTATAATTAATTACATTACCTCTACACAGAAAAGCCAAAATACTGAAGGTATGGAGTTATGTGCAGGGTCTAATCTAATCTACCTACCGATATTTAATCTATTTGTGTATATATGTGTATATATATAATTAAGGTTTTGCTACATGTGAAGAACGAATTAAAAGATAAGCACTCACATAGTGCCCATTAATTATAGTAATGATGTCCCTGTGAAGTTCAACAGTACATATGCAAGTGGTTAGCTGTTTTCTTCTCTACACTTGAAAACAAAACACACACACACACACACATTTTAAAGATAAATCCCACAACATTCCTTCTATGTTTTAATTTTATGTTATTTATTTGTTTATAGCCGTATTTCCGTTTTTTATAAACAATTTTTTTTTTTTTTACAAGGTATGAGACCCCTCAGACTTCTTGAAACACTTAAAAGTACCTGTGATTGCCCAAGGCGATTAAATTGTTTAAAGATCAAGTTAAGTGAAGACAACAATACAACAAATTGGCGAAATAATCTCTCTCTTCATTCATATATCTATCTATATATTAGTAATATATATATATATAATACAACATTGAACAAAGAAAATAAGATTAAAAAAAAAAAAAAAAAAACACAGAATAGGTGGATTTAATTAAATTAACTTTAGTTGCAGTTGCATCTCCGTGGATTTATTATTGAACTTGTCCTGTGTCCCACGTACGAAGTGGAATAGGAATTAAATATGTGGAAAGAAGACAACAAATATGAACTTGTAGGTGCAAGATAAAAAAGGCAGAGAAGACAAAGGACTTGAATATATAAAGGATTTACTTTTTTTCCCTGCCCACGCACTACGCCACCAGTTTAAAATTTTTAATTAGAAGACAAATGTGAATTGTTAGAGTCAAATTCAAATTTTAATTTGGAGTTAGGTTACGTAATGGTGCAAAAAGTGATTAGTATATATTACTATTAAATAAGTGTCACGTCTTATCTTTAATTCGATGTCACGTCAAATATATATGAATAGTCGATCCATTATAAACACTTTATATTCAAGGTACAAAGTCGATTTGTCCGGTTAACAACTCAAAAGGCTCACCGTGTGTTTTATTCAATGATGTACGTTCTCTCTTTTTCTTATGTAATGATTTTTTTTTGACTTGGGTGCCTCGCTAAGGTAGTGTTGTAGCTCACTTGTTGAGCAAAAAAATTCTTGCAGCCGAATGTTCTGATTTTGAGTGAAACTTTTAATTCAAGTAATTGTTAGATGCTCTCAATTCCGACTGTATTCTTCCTCCTTTTGAATGATATGGTGTTTCATTTGGTGTCCAAAAAAAAAAAAAAAAAAAACTCAAATTCTTTAAACCTTACATTTAAAAATGAGACCAAATAATGCAATAAAATCTACGATCCAACCTCAGAATCTGAAAATCAACTTTGTAAAGAGAATCCGACGGCTGCAGTGTATGAAATAGGAAGACCCGTGTGATAGATCATTGTCCTTTGGGACATGCAAACATTGTCAGAGTAAATTTCAATATCAGTAACTCAAATGTTTAATCCAAAACGGTGGGCCACACCTCTCTCTTTTCATTATATATATACAGTATAAAAATATATTCTTTTTAGATCAAAGGTGCTTACTGAGAACTGAAACAGACTGGACAGATGAAAAGTAAAAGTGCGACCGGCGCGATGCTCCTAGGATCCTCATTCCTCGACCATGGGTACACGGTGAATGGCTCCCCACCGTCAATATAACAGTAGAGAAAGTTTCGGATTGACGGATAGGAGACACTTTTTAGGTCTTTACTGGTAATAAGTTAAATTACGTTAAATTTTAGATAAATTACACTCACTTATCAAGAAATTTAAACATATTATATGCAGTAGATCCTTTAATTCATTCTTTATTACTTTTGTCTTCAATAACATGTAGTCAAGATGCATAGCGATAATGTAATTTTATAGGGTTAATTTTATGAACATTTCTTTAAGTTTGACCAAATATCATATTGAAATATTTTTTGAAAATAATTATCACTCACATTATAAATATTTGTTCCGTTTTTCACTTATACCCCAAAAATTACTTTTCGAATATGTCAAATATTTTTTGTATATAAAGTGACATTACCACCTTTCTAACTATATAATAACTTAAAAAAGTGTTAAAATGACTTAAATACCTCTCAACTTTTATTATATGAACTTATAATTATTCTTTATATATATATATATATATCACCATCATGTACACCCATCAATTTAAAATTATTTTTTAAAAATTATATATATATATATATATATATATATATATATATCACCAGGTTTCTTACCTTTTCTATATCTTTTTCTTTTTCTTTTTTAATTTTCTAATTTCCTCTTCTTCTTCATTACCATCGGCTAAGAATTTTTCTTTTTCCTTTTTTATTTTATTTTATTTTCTTCTTATTCATCACACCTTCAGTTTAAGCCCTTTAGAAGATGAAGGCAGTCTATATTAGCAAATCCAACTAAAAGCAAACAGAGGCCTGGGGGCATTGAATCGGTCCTCTACTCAGCTCTGAAGTGTCAACACTAAAGCGCCCAATTCACTAGCTGCCTCACCCGCTCTTATATTCTTCTTTGAAGAGGAAGATCTGAACCTCATTTTTGATCTTTTATTTCCTTTAATAAATAGGGCTAAAAACAGCGCATAATTGGACTTCAAAATCAACTGTTATTTGACATTTTTCAAAGGTCTAATCTATTCACGAACTGACTAAGATGATTAGGATTTGTAGTGAGAGAAAGGTGGAGTGTGAAATTTGGGGTAAGGGCATTTTAGTCCTTTTAATTTTTGGATATTTTACAATAAACGTTATTAAAAATTTTAGAGGTAAAATTGTATTTTTAAATATTTTTAACAATGTTATTGACGAAAAAGTCATTTGGGGTTGAGTGATAGTAATTTTCGAAAGAATTTTTATGTAATATTTTGTCAAACTAAAATTAATCCAATTTTATAAAATTTGATCAACACATTTATTCCACGTATATCATTAAATGTACGTTAAGTTTTCAAAATTATAAATGTTGAAAGGTTTCGTAGGTGTGTGATTTGTTCAAAATAGTACTGTCTTAGTTTTAAAATAGTTGTCCTTTGAGATTGAAGGCGTATAATTTATTTTAATATTTTTTTGAATTTTTATTCTTTCTGAGTCTTTAAATAACTAGAAAGTGCGCAGTTCTAATCCCACATTAATTAAGCACTGTGGTATGCATGATTGTCTGTTTGTTTTGTTTACACGAAAATATATATATATATATATATATATATATCCAAAAATTTATTTCAGTATCTCTATTTAATAATGAATTAATTAAATAGGGTTTGTTCTCAACGCATCTCGAGACAAAGTCAAGACAGAGAGATGAACTACGCGGAACGCCTCGGTTGGTACAGCAAAGCAGCGCAGTTCTCTCCAATGCCTGCCTCGTCTTTCCTTTGCTGTTACTACTGATACTCATAAAACAGAGCCCTCTGTAACAAAAGGATTGGTTGGTACAAAATTACACATGCCATCTCTGTAGTCTATGACTGTCTATTTATATATATACATACACACACACTGTATATGTTAAACACACACTCTCTCTCTATGTAGACACTCTAGAGAAAAGGAAAAACCCATTAGACAAGATCCCTTCTACTAGTACACTAGTACCACATAGTCTTACACAGCTACAGTTGCAGCCCATAAATGCATAAAACTGTTTACAGTTTTTGATAATTTGTTAATCACCACCATGCCTCGATTTAGTAATCTCCAGATTTGAATCACGAACTCTCCTCATTCTTTCCTTTCTCTCTCCTCCCTGAACTCTCCTCATTCTTTCCTCTCTCCTCCCTCTCTCTCTCTCTCTAGCAGTACTATTTGTATCCACTTGTCCTAACTTCAACTCTCCACTTTCAGTTGAAAACTCATCAACTCTGTCATGTTTCAAAGCTCTCTAACCAATTTCAAAATTTGATTCTTCTTTTGTCCAATTAAAAAACATACCATGATGATGGCTCATAAGCATCTACACGAGCTACTGAAGGAAGATCAAGAACCGTTCCAGCTGAAGAACTACATTGCCGATATCAAGAAGAAACAAATTCCCAGAACAACTTTACAAGTCAAGAAACGAAAACCCATTGTTGAGAGCTCAAGCTCGAGGCACAGTATTCTCTGCAAGCATGCGTGTTTTTTCTCGTTCCAGGACTCGCCGGACGTCAGGAAACCACCGTTCTTTGATTTTCCGTCGCCGGCGAAGAGTCCCTGTAAAAGCCCCAACACCGTTTTCATGAAAGTCCCAGCTGGAACTGCTGCTTTGCTTCTCGAAGCTGCAATGAGGATTCAGAAACAATCGTCCTCTGCTAAACCCAAAACCCAGATTAAGAATGTGGGGTTTGGGTTATTAGGGTCGATTCTGAAGAGATTAAGCAATCGGAGTAAGACCCAAAAACGTGAAATCGACTGTGATGGGGTTAGGGTTTCGGCCGGTGGTCGTAGAAAATTCAGCGGAAAGGGCGAGAAAGTGAAGGAAAATGTGGCGGGAGTGAATTACAAAAGTGCTTCTGAGGTAGAATTTTCGTGTTCTTATGGGAAAACCAAGCTAAATAGTGCTGTTTGGTCGGAAAGTAACGAAGAAAATTGGTCTCTGGGTTTGGAGACCTCTACTAGTTGCAGGTCAGTGGACTCTGAAGAGATTGAATTTGTATCTGAAGAGGGAGAAAATGGAGGTTTCGCTTCCATTGAAAAGCGCTTCTGTTCGAGCCCTATAAGCCCTTTCCGATTTGCTCTTACAAAAAGCCCGTCTTCCGGCCGCCGGACACCGGAATTCTCGTCGCCGGCGGCGTCTCCTTGTCGCCATAATGAAAAGGTTTGTCTTTCTACTTTTTATCATTATATAATATATATATCTCTATTTCCGGCAACGTTCAAGTTCTATTGACTCAGCTCTGCGCGCAAGTTGAATTTTGACTCAGTTTATTCAAAAAATTCAAGTAAAAAAAAAAAAAATTTCCTCAATTTCTCTCAATGACTCAGTGAGATGACAGAGTCAGTGAAGCGAGTTCGCGGTGTTTGAAATGTCGGCCGGAATGTCGATCTTAAATGACACAAGAAACCATCAATCTGGTGCCCACAATTGCAAGAGACAAATAAATAGGGGGTCATATAAGTCATTTACTCCACATGCATGAACAACCTGTATTTTTTTGATCATGTCTCTGCCACCAAAATCTCTTCTCAAAGACACTTGTCTAGAAAATTATTTTCCAGAAATTAAAGTACGAATTCGATTTTGTCTTTTCCATTAAACCCTTCAATTAAAATCCACATGACTATTTAGCACTACATTCTATTGTTTAGTACAAATGTAAAAGCCCAATAATGTCAGATGATCTGTTGCAGACAATTACAATACAAACAATGTGATAGCTTTGTATAAATTTTGATTATATTGAAATTTAATAGGAAAAAGAGAATCACGTAGCAGAGAGCATAACAAAAGTCCAATTAGAAGAAGAGGAAGAAGAGAAGGAACAATGCAGTCCAGTATCAGTATTGGATCCTCCATTCGAAGACGACGCGGAGGCGGAAAGACACGAAAGTGTGGACGAGGAAGAAGATGACTATGATCTCGACTGCAGCTTTGAAATTGTACAAAGTAGGTAACAAATTCCATTAAGTTGCATGTTAACATAATTTTGATGGTTTATTCATAATATAGCAGTTGATCTGTCCTTTCCAACTGTGGTACATGTATTTGATGAAGCCCGTATGTTGGTTACAACAGATCCAAAGAGTCGTAATCATCAGATTTTATAGCATGAATTATTTTTTGATATCTATTGAAAAATTTATATTTGATTGTAAATTAGAGAATTTTTTGTCTATGTGAAGAAGACGTCGCTCACATAAGTCATATGTTCATAACTTCTTTTGTGACCCACATTTGGTGGTGGGGTGTTATCACTTAATAATGGCCACAGGGTCCCCTGCTCAGTTGATTAAATAAATTTGTTTGACCGTTGGTAATTTTGTCATTTTGTTCACATCAAAATAATAAATTTAATTGTTACATTCTCGATTTAATACAGTAAACAAATGTGTATCGCAAAGGTTAAATTTTTTCATTTTTGTGGGGTAAAAAATTATACATCTTTTCACGGCCCAGTGTTATATTCTTTGTTAGACGATAAACTGTCTTGTATTATTTCCTTGTGCTGTAAATGTTCGTAGTGTTCTAATTTTCATGTTCTTATTTCAGTTATTCTCAAAGCCAAATTAATTCATTGTCAAATAATTTGTTCAAATTTTCACTGTGTTTGTTTTGCCTTGGACTTGCAGGAGCAAAACAGCAACTGTTGCACAAGCTTCGAAGGTTTGAGAGATTGGCAGAGTTGGATCCTATTGAACTCGAGAAAATATTGTTAGAAGAACGAGATGAAGAAATTGATAATGAAGACCTAGAGGTCGAAAATGATTGGGAAGATGACGAGTCACTTTCATTTTGCAGAGAAAAAAATGTTGATGAATTTATTAGAGAAAATCTTAACAAATCAAGCCTCCATTTTGGCGAAGTTTCAGCAGACACGAAAACACTGGTCTCGGACCTTATTGCAGAGGAGAAAAGCGAAGAGAATGCCTCGGATGACAGTGAAGTTGTGGCGAAAAGAGTTTGCAAGAGGTTGGATTCATGGAAGGTGGTGAAATGTAACACCATTGATATGATGGTGAAGTCGGATTTCGTAAGAGAATTTGATGGGTGGAACAAAAATCAGGAGCAGATGGGAGAGACGGCAATGGAGATCGAGCTTGCTATATTCGGATTATTGGTTGAGGAATTGTCACAAGAATTAGTCTGCTAAAAAACTGGGCTGTGAAGGAAAACTTCATATATAAAGTTTCTGGTCAATCTAAATAATTTTTTGGTCTAATTCTATTAATTTTTCTAGTGTGACTTCAGCTGTCAAGGGATATATATGATAGACCTAATTAGTAGTAATTAAGTTGATTTTAGTTTATATGGTCTTATGTATGTATATGTATCATGTATGCAAATGGGAAGATGTATGTATTCTAAACTTTCGTTGCTCGATTCATGAAACATTACAAGTACAATATACTCCTGGCCCTTTATTTCTTTATTGGGAAATGGAATTTTATTTTGCAATTATTTCAGAATTTTTTTCTTTGCTTTCAAACCCGAGAAATCGCTTTCAAAAGGTATCCAAACAATGCCCAAAGTGCAACTTCCCTTGTTTTGGAAGCAGCACAAATCAAAGCACTTCCAAAATGTCAAAAAAAAACAATAAAAAAAGTGTAGATATTGTGTCAGTTTGATGGGAGCACGTACGTTTCGTGACCCCAACTTACACTTTGTGTAGATAGTGTTTGCTTTATACACTGTTATTCTTTCAGTTTTAAAAAAGACATATAAACATCAACAATCTCTCTCCCGCATAATGTAGGACATCACTGTTCATACAAAACTTCGTGTATAAGTTGAAGCTAAAAATCTGAAAATGGTCAGAGTTGGAACATACATACTCGTAGGTCAACATCAAATTAAGGTTGAAGCTAGCAATTATGACAATCTAGAATTATGACAAGGTAATAGAAACAAAGCTGCAAGAGCTACCAAACATGTCAAGAGTGAATTCTTGGGCAAAAGTTTCAGCAAGGTATATGATTCCGAGAAGCTTTTTTCTCAAGAGAGACACACTGGAAAACAACTTCCACTTTTTTTTCTTTTTTTTTCCTTTTAATTATTATATGGATAAGCACTAAGCAGCATCTACCTTTTTCTTCTTTGCTATAACGCATCTTTCATTTATGAATGCTTTATGACGCTTTTTTAATCGCCTAGTCTTGCCACTTTTTTATTTTAATAATCACATGATAGCGGACACTACTGTGACCTATATGTATATAGTATGTATATCTATGTATATATAATTGTGTTGCCTGTGATTAAATTAAATTGCTAGTGATGTGACAATCGAACAATACATTATTAAGCAAAAGGAAGCTAGACATGAATTATTTCATCTAATTATAATTATTAAATTATGGGATAGGGGTTATGGAAGTGACTTAACATGATGACTAAGGTTATATTTATCATTGTCGGAAACAGATTTAAATATATATATATATATAAAAGGAATGTGGTCCTCTGAGCTGGGACTACCCATTGTATTTAGATTCAAGTTATATTAAACCTAATTAAGTTATTTATGAATTTATTATATGTTAGGTGTTCATCGTGCATTGCACTGACATTAGTAAAATCAATAAAACATCATTACTATAACCCCACTTTGCATGGAAAACAGAATGGAACAAATGTATTGAAAAACTTTGATTAGTGTAACCCACCTATCAAAAAGTAGTGTTATTATTATTTTTTTGTCCAATTTGTAACTTAAATCACACAAAATGGGAGAGATTACAAGAGTAACAAAATTCAAGTCACATATAGTAAAATCTGAGTGCAAGAGAATTTGTGAATTCAAGTCACATATAGTAAAATTGAGAGGAAGAGAATGTGCAAATTAAGAAAGCAATACATGTTTAGAAAGATATGATGTGACACATGTGATATATACATCCAATACTTACCATATGTTGTTTTAAATTATGATTTTAATTTAATTAATTATTTTTGTTGTTTTATTTATCTATTTTTTAATTACAAATCTTGGCTTTTAGGTCATTTAGGTTTATAATTTACAATTAGAAGATTAATTGAAGTTCAATTGTTTGGTACAACCACTTGGGTTTGAGAGTGACAACATTGGTTAGACTTGGATTCATCATATTACCAACCAAAAAAGAGCGTGACGTACATAAAAGATAAATTGGAGGGCAAACGTACAAGGCATCATATCTCCACTAAAAATCAAAATTCATTTATAAAAGGAAAAGGAAAGGTGACGAGAAAGAAACCTAATTGCCTCCGTGATTGAGTTGGTAAGTGTTGGATGTATATATATCACATGAAACCAAAAATACTCAAGAATTGGAGCATTGCTATTGTTTGGCTTCCCAAAACCAAAACTGAAATATTTTTCATTAGGAATTGATTGGAAAGAGGATTTGACAAGTGAATCCGTTGCCTTTGTGGGTCATATATAGTTATACACACACACACACATATATATATGTATATATTTATACTAGTGTTCTCTTCAAACATTTGCTTAATAATAAACGAATGATGACAGACATATAGAGGTAGAAGTATATTTGAGCAGTTGAGATAGTGATGGAAATCATGTTTATGTACACGTTATGACTAGTGAACGTATATATATATAGTGTGAGAAGAAGACAGAGCCAATCATCAGTGTATAGTTTGGCAAGATAAGAATAGAGCAAATGATTTAAGAGGACTTTTGAATTGTGATTAATCATGAAAATAAATTTCTTTTGAGAATTGGAAGTATAGAAATATGTTTTGGAGCATTGCAAACAAGCAGAGTTTACTCTCAGCATCTTACAGAAAAATTAAAAAAGAACCCCTTAGTTCAAAAACATTGCTAGTCCTACAGTCACAGGTTTACAATCTAGGCCCAATCCATTGGGCATTGCTTAATTGGGCAATGAATTTTTAAATCTCGAATTGGGCTCCGGTCCAAATTTCAAGACCTAAATTTATTTTGGAGTGCACTTGAGTAAGAGTTTCTCCAACAGTCCAAGAACCAGAGAATAATTTTTTTTTTCTAGATTCTTAGGTCCTACATGCTAGTTACATGCGATTTAAATTGCATATTTACTCTTGGTTGGCATTATATTAAAGGTTTGAATATATATTAATTTATAATTTATCATTATAAATTATTATGGTATACAATTTTGTTGCTTTTATAATAGTTTACTCTGACGTCTGGCATCATATTAATAGTTATTTTATAAATTATACAGATATGGTCTAAAATTTTAAAACATGGTACAATCATATGCATAAATAATCGTGATAGTTCATTTCGTACAGTAAAACATGCTTGTTATACTCTCAGAAGCTGATGGTGTAAAACCGTGTGGGTTGACACTAGCACTGGCCTTTTAAGTTGAAGAGGACAAAGATTTGGGTAGCTTGACGCGAGGAACACTTTACTGGTATGAGATAAGCCTAATGAAAAGTAGTTTTATGCTTGCGCTAGCAACTAGAAAAGGTGATCAACATATATGGCTTTTTATGTTGGTCTCCAACTTTTAATTTCGTCACTGTATCTCCTTGGATTCAGTTTCAGTTATTGTGATATTTTCGTTTCTAGAATTTTTTTGTACAATCTAGCACCAAATGTTATTATGTAATTGCATTAAAATGAATCCTATCCGGCGCACCAGGTTAATTTGGCACAAAGAATATGATGTTCTGAAATTGAATTTGGGGGCATAACAATGATGTTTTTTATTTATTTACAAAGATGGTAAGTTATATATTTAAACTGAATGTACAAGGCAAAGCCCAAAATACAGAGGCCCAAAACAAGCCAATCAACCAGACGAGCCGACAGTGGCCCATTCAACAATTGAAAAAGACAATAATATTCTAGAAGCCTTGTCAAAAACAACATTACATCCGGTGTGGTTAGCGCGATGAGGCAGAGCCTCTGATGGTCAATCCGGCTCCGGTGGAGGTCTGATGAAAGACTAAGGGAGATCTCACTCTAGAATGATCTTTCTCGCGATGGGTGAGTCTCTTACACTAAAGGAACTAAGCCTCTGTTTTACTAAATCCATGGTGCGATGCAGCAACCTAAATATTGTCTATTCAATAATAGTAACTTTATTTTTTTAAAAAAGAAAACAATTACCTAAAATTTAAAACCTTTAATCAACAATTTTAAAAGTAATAAATTTTAGCTTTAGTAATCAAAGTATTTTTTTTTTCCTTTTTTTCTTTTTTCTTTTTGGCTAAGTAGCAAAAGTACTTTTATTTTCAAACTTCTTCAAAATCTATTTTTTAAAAATAAAAACGGGAATCAATTCAAACACATGAATACTATCTCAACATACAATTTTCAATTAATCATTAGATACTTAAATAAGGATCAATTCCACCTTATGACAATTATTAACTCCATTCAGATACATACGAGAAAAAATAAAGGAAATGATAGTATTAGTTATGAGATAAAAGAAAAAAAAAAAATTGATAACAATAATATTTATTCGTATTTGGATAGTGTTGCCACCAAAACTTGGCAGCCATCTCAGCGATGACGTAAACCAATGAGGAGCGAATAGGTATTTTCAACATGACGTCATAAGAATCAGCTATTTAGAAATATCAGGGGCATAAAAGGAAACGACCCGTGTAATTATATTGCATATATTAATTGGCTGCCAAGCTTACAAGAAAGTAGTTAAATTTTAGCAACTAATGGTTGACTATTTCATATTGGGCTACTGAAGTAAAGGAAGAAGGGCTGGAGTTTAGTTGAAAGGTAACAACTAAATTCCTATTTTATAGGAAGTTTAGGTGTGATATAAAAGGGAAGCTCCAACATAACATGCGGAAATTCAAATATTCTACAAGTGTTAACTCATTTTAAAATTGAAAGCGAAGAAAATCAAGGAAGAGAAGATTCTGCTACAAAGAATTAGGAAAATAAGTTGATTATGACTTCTATAAATAGGAAAGTTTGTAATTCTTTCCAATTCGCACCACCCACAAAACATGAATTTCTTATTCAATTGACTCTATGTCATTTATCAATTTCCTTATTTCTTTTGTCCAAATGGCAATTTTTATTCAAAGAAGCTAAGTTCCAGTAACTTATTTTTCTTTTTGCAATGTTTTAATTATGCTATTTACATTATTAGTCATTTTTTTCATGCAAACGGATTCAATGGCCAATCTTTGATCAGATTTGCGTCATGTTAATTTGGCCCGTTTATTTCATTTCTTTACTTTTCATGCAATTTCCATTCGGCCAGTTTTAATTATGCTATTTTAATTCAAAATATTTTCAATTCAATGGCAATTGATTAAATTCTTGTCATTCCTTTTACTTGCAATTGATTAAATTATTGTCACTGCATTTCGCTTTACTTCATTTCTTTTCATGCAATTTCCATTCTGCCAGTATTAATTATGCTATTTTAATTCAAAATGTTTTCAATTCAATGGCAATTGATTAAATTCTTGTTATTCCTTTACTAGCAATTGATTAAATTATTGTCATTGCATTTCGCTTTACTCCATTTCTTTCCATGCAATTTTCATTCTGCCAGTTTTAATTTTGCACATTTCAATTCTCAATTCAATGGCAATTGATTAAATTCTTGTCATTCATTTCAATTCGGCTGTTTACTTTTCAGTCAATTTTCATTTAATCATCTTTCTTTAAAGTTAATTTAAATTAAGCCAGTTCATTCAAATTTCTTTAGTAATTGCATTTTTATTTCTTTTAACATTTTTATAAAAAGTTCTTATAAACAAAGCAGAAAAAGAACCTTGCTGAGAGTTCTTACTATTCTCTCTCCCACACATTCGCCTGAAGTCTGCCAAGTAAAAAGGGATAGGCTGGTGTTCATTTTATAATTTTGAGTGTTTTATACTAATATTTTGGCACGCCCGCAAAAGTTTATCGATTGGCATAAGACCAAAAAATCACGCGAACAGATAGATAGGAGAGAAAAGTAAAAAAAAAAATGATAGTATTCTTAATTGGAGAAACTTCTTCTCTTAATTAGCAACCCAGGCTTGGCATACCAGAATCGAATCAATAGGTGCTCTAGGAGAATGGAATCTTCCGACAGACCACCATCGCAACCTTCGGATTGACTGGCTACAAGCGTTACGAAGCTTGAGGTACACAGTTACCATTGTAATGCTCATCTCTATGTTGCAGACAATTTTGATCTAGGGATTTTTAGGACTTTCTTTCCTTTGTCACCCAATGGGTTTGTTTGTCTTATTCCTGTGCCTTTGGGCTTGTAGTCCTTACATTTAAGCTGGACCTTTTCATGGCTTAGGCTAAGAATACCTTTGGGCCAGTCCTTTTTTCTTTTTTCAGCAAAAGCTAAACCCACGTAATTATTTCCTTATATATTCAAATTTGTTTTGCTTTATATATTAATGTTCCCTACAAAATAATATATTTGTAAATATAATATCAAAAATATATAATTAAAATAAATATAGTAATAAAAAATATTTAATAAATTAATATAATCATGTTTCACATAAAATAATTATAAGTACAGACATAAAATATATAATATACAGGCGCTCTCAAGACGTTCCCGCTCTTAACTAATTTTGGACTTTGTCGCTCTCGCGCTCCCGCTCTCGCATTATGTGACTTAATTCCTAAACTTGATCATTTAAATTAAATATTTTCTAAGTTATCATAAGTTAAATTATGTGCAGATTGACACGTCACGTTTAAAATATATCTACTGCTTATGTTAATCCACGTCAATTAATTTATAAAAAGTTTAAAAACTGTACCGTTTTGAGATAAGAAAAATTTAGCAAAGTTTAAAAATTACATCGTTTTGAAATAAGAAAAATTCATCAAACTTTCGTTCTCTCTCCCTCATCCTTTCCGGGGGAAAAAAAAAAAAAAAAAAAAAAAAATCACTCCCTCTCTCTCCTCTTGCTCATTTCGACGATTGCGGAAATATTTCGTGCCAAAAATGAATGTTCTTTCCCACCATTTTTGGCACCTAAAACTTCTAGTTCACTATCTTTTTCTGAAATTTATATTGCAAAATTCATTACAGAGGCTTTAAATTTGCACATTCATTTTTGTCGCAAAATATTTTCCCAATTGTGGGAATAATCGACGTGGTTTAACACAAGCAATTGATTTTAAACGTGACGTGTCAATCTGCACAGAATTCAATTTAAAATAACTTAGAGAAGATTTAACTTAGAGGATCCAAGTCCTCGTTCCTGGCCTTTGGCATACTTAAGTTATAGGTCTAAGCTTAATTAGTCCATTAAACTTCAATTAATTTAAAATTATTAAAAAAATTAAAGCAAAATTACGTTTACAATTAGAAAACCCAAATGTGAACTGAACTTTATGCCCAGTGTCCCCACACATTCGTACCAAAATTAATACCAGTGCTATTCAGCTAGTAAATAATAAGCAAGCTCTTCATTACTTTATTATTGTCAGTTTCTTTTCAATGCCCATAACTTTAATTATTAACCAGAGTAGTAGCCTCATATATGAGTGGCAGAGAATCAAAATCAATTTTGAGTTGTCAGATGCATAATCCAAACAAAAGCAAAACACTACCCTCACTCCCTACATCCTTACATATATGTATTCATCCTCAAACTGGGGTCACCACTGCTTTTGTTTTCTTCTACCAAAAAGTTGTCCATAGATAACAGTTTGTCAAATCTTTATACATTTATACATATCCCAACAAAACTTAGCAAACTGAAATGGGTAGCAATTCAGTAGGAGAAACAGACCAGCATGCCATTAGAATTTGGGAAGTTAACAAAGAAAGATTGGTGTCTATGCAGAGAAAGATCTCCGACACGCCGCGATTACTAAGCAAATCAGCCGGTCATAGTTCATGCTGCATCTTCAGGGTCCCCCAAAGCTACATTGACATCAACTGCCTATCATACCAGCCTCATGTTGTCTCAATCGGTCCATACCACCACGGCAAACAACACCTCCAGATGATCCAAGAGCACAAGTGGAGGTACCTTGACGCCTTATTAAAACGGACGCAAAAAAAAGGCTTGGTTTTGGAGGACTACTTGAAGGCCATACAACCCCATGAAATGAGTGCTAGAGATTGCTACTCCGAAACCATCCATCTTGACAAAGATGAATTCGTTGAGATGTTGGTTCTTGACGGATGCTTCATCATCGAGATGTTTCGAAAATTTGGAGGATTGGTAGATCCAGACCCTGATGACCCACTCATCTCCATGTCATGGGTATTACCATTTTTGTCGAGGGACCTTGTTCGACTCGAAAACCAAATCCCTTTTTTTATATTAAAGTGTTTGTTTGATTTAACACAAATGCCAGGCGAAGAGAATGGCCGTTCCTTGGCCACACTAGCACTTGAATTCTTCAACTACATGACGCAGAGGCCAGATGAAGTTCTCAGGAAGTATGGTAACCACGAAGGCCGTCATTTACTCAATTTTCTTCGAACAAGTTTCATACCAAAGGATGATCAGCAATGGCAGCCTAGAGTCATACGACGTTTTAGTACTCATGGCTCAGCTGCATCAACCAACCTCATTCATTGCATCTCGAAGCTTCGCAGGGCCGGAATCAAACTCGAGCACGTAAAACCCGAGAGCGCGAAGAGTTTCTTGGTAGTGAAATTCAAGAAACACGGCGTGATCGAAATGCCAACCATCACCATAGATGATTTCATGAGCTCCTTCATGTTGAATTGTGTGGCGTACGAGCAGTGTCACAAAGATTGCTCGGGGTCCATGCATTTCACTACCTATGCAACTTTACTAGATTGTCTGATAAACACTTCCAAAGATGTGGAGTCCTTGTGTGACCGACACATCATAGAGAATTACTTTGGGACTGATGCTGATATTGCCAAGTGTTCGCGCGGTTTTTGTTCCCTACGCCGGTCGATGGACTCTTCGCGGGCGTGCCAGAGTATTTGTACAAAATACCCAAAATATGTAATTGAACACCAGCCTATTCCTTTTTCCGATGGCTGACTCTCAGGCAATTGTGTGGGAGAGAGACTAGTAAGAACTCCCAGCAAGGTTCTTTTATGCCTTGTTTGTAGCAAGGACTTTTTAGAGTGTCTAAAGAAATGTAACGGCTGATGAATGTTTGAATGGATGGAATGGCCGAGTGAAGACAGGCGGCAAGAACTTAATCGATCGCCGGCCGAACGTGATGGCGAGAACTTAATCAATCGCCATCAGCCAAACACAATGGCAAGAATTTAATCGATCGCCACTGAAACGTGATAGCAAGAATTTAATCAATTGCCATCAGCCAAGTAATGACAAGAATTTAATCAATTGTCACTACGATTCAATGGCAAGAATTTAATCAATTGCCATTGAATTGAAAGCCTAACTAAAATTGCGTAATTAAAATTGGCATAATTGAAATTGAAAGAAAGTAAATGGCTGAATTGAAATAGTTGACAATGATCTAATCAATTGCCATTAAATTGAAATAAAGAAATTGATAGGAAAAAATGACGTAAAGTCAATTGAAAACATTTTAGTTGAAATGCATGTTTTGTGGTGGTGCTGGACCAATTGGAAATGGAATACAATACTTCTATTTATAGAAGTTCTATCTCAACTTATTTTCCTAATTAATTGCTAGAAAATCTCTTTGCTCCTTGATTTTCTTCACTTTATTACTCAAACTAAACCACGTTCCAGTAGTTTTTTGTGTCTCTTCTTTTCTTGCTTCAATAGGAAAGTCCTTGCTGAAATCTCTCCTTGATCCAGTCAAATGCAAGTTGTCAAAAATCATGCTGAAAAGTTGCTGGAAAGTTGCTAACTTTTAGCAACTCCTTTCCTTAAGTTAGGCTGAAAACTTCCCTTAAATGGCTGGAAGACCATTTATAACTTTTGCCCAAATTATCCCTCACGTGACGGCCTCTCCTTTGAATTCCTTATTCCTTTGCAACGAAATTCCTATTTCATAGGAATCTCATTCCAACTAAATCTCTTCTATCCAAACTGAAATAATATATTTGAATTAACTCAAATATTAATTACCAAATTTCAGCAACAACCTTATTAGATAAGGTGGCTAAATTCCAAGATTTTCTCCTCTTGTTTCTCAATTGGCCGACTTTTCTTGAAACCATACTAAACAAGTGTCGGCCCATCGCTGGTCCACGTCACCACTGAGGTGGCTGAAATATATCTTTCTATATTTGCTCCTAATCTTCAAAACTGGCCGATCCATTCTTGGACATGCTCAACCCTTATCGGCTTCCCATTGGTCCACGTCGCTGCTGAGGTGGCTGCCAAGTTTTGGTACCAACAAATGCCCCCTGAATTTCAAAGGCTTTTATCACTTATGATACGAAGCGTTTGGAATTTGAATCGGCCTAAAATTGTAATTCAAATTTTAGTAATAAATCCTTTTCCCAACCACCTGCTTTAATGGTTATCTTTCCCAATTAAAGCGGCGACTACACTAATCCGCTATTACATCCAACAAGTATTTAGCTTGATGTCCTCTAATCCCTAAAATCATTCTTCTTCTCTTAAACTTTCTATCTCTGAAACTTCTTTCTCGGCAAAATCATTCCTGAAGTCTTCTATGGCTCCTAAGAAAACTAAATCAACTGATTCCACCTCTATCCCTCAACCTTCCGATCCTTCAACCCATGGCAACATCATAGAAAAATCCCTAAAAACTCTATCTCCTTACAAATACTGTCTCAATACCCTTATCGATCTTCGTACTGACTTCAAAGGCTTAGGTCCTGCTTTCCTTGACGAAGCTCCTTCATCAATCTCAACTTTCTATCCTTCGGCCGACGTTCTTCCATTCCTTCAAACCTTCCCTCCTAATGAAAATGGCAGTTTGCCACACTTTCATTTTAGAACATGGCATATTCCAAATGATGCTTGGATCAATTGGGTCGACCGGGTTAGAGCTGTAAAGGGAGAAGTATGGAAGGATTGTGGCATATATGATGCCATTCAGCTAAGTAAAACTAACATCGCCCAAGACAGGGCCTTGATGATAGCAGCCATGTTTAATTGGTCGACCACTACCAACTCCTTACACTTGAAGTGTGGCATGATGGCTCCAACCATTCAAGACGTGTGCTATCTAACCGGCCTCAAACCCTTTGGGATTGATGTAAGTACCTTATTGGTAGAAGAGAATTCTCCTTTCATCTTCCCTTCAAAGCAAACTGGAACCAAGTCATCTGAATCCTCTTATGGCAAATACTTAACTTCCACCATGGATCCTCGCGTCCCTGTGAATGATGCTGAGCATATTGCCTTCTTGTTGGCGTGGCTGAACAAGTTTCTTCTATGCGTACCGGCCTTTCAAGTCACAAAAGATTTCATTTATGTGGCCGTTGCTCTTTCAAGAGGTAAACACCTTGCTCTTGCCCCCTTGGTGCTTTCTCATTTATATAGGGGGATTTATGACTTGCTTACCTCCAACTTCGGACGCTATGGTGGTCCCCTCTGGTTATTTCAAATTTGGTTTCAAGTGTACTTTCCTGAACTCGGACCTGTGGTAAGGCCTTCGGCCAACGACCCATTACTTTCTGTAAGTTACGCATCAGCCGTACCTAAATCCTATTCGTTTGGAGATTGCTTCAATTTCTTTTACTCCGGTTGTGAACAGAGGACTATCAGCCAATTTCTTCCATTTTCTCATTGCTCACAAGCTCCTCGATGGCTGACTCCTCCTCAAGGAGTGTCTACCAAAAAATCAGCTGATAAGCATTCGGCCATGTGGGCTAATTTCTTACTTCCAAGAGACCTTCACTTCAACACTGGCCCTCTAGGCACAGTAAACTCAAAAGTTGGAGTTGCGTTCTACAATCCAAACCAACTTGCTAGGCAATTTGGTCTGACTCAAATGATCCCCATGCCCCCTTATTTCTCTTTCAACAAAAACTTCCATAGGCGTGTGGTATTTCCAGATGACTCCTATGTAAAGAACGTGTCCTCCCGGTTCTCAAATCTGCAAGCCGGGTTCCAATTCCAACCCTTCATCAAAAACCCAGCCTCAGATTCTAGTTTTGATCAATGGTGGTCTTCTTACATTACTTCTACAAGGACGGCTGATAGCCAGCCCCTTGTTGTTAAAATATTGGAATCTTTCAAGTTCATATCTGTGGCCTTTGAAGGGGCATTCGTAATTTCCCGGGCCGTTACCCCAAAGAAGATGCCTCAAAAAGATCCTCCCAAAGATAAAAAACAAACGGCCAAGAAACTCCCTTTCTCTCAGCCAACAGATGCTCCAACAAGGACCAATAAAGAGAGAAAAGCCAAGGCCAAAGCCACTGTCAGCCTCCTCAAGGGTACAATCTTCCTTTACTTGCATATATATATATATAAAAACTTTTAATTGAATTTCTCTTACCCCCCTTTTTTTTTCTTGCAGATTCAGACAGTGGAACTTTATCAGCCTCGCCTAATCTAGAAAACGTTGAGCCCCAAGATGATGAAATTTCCTCAAGCCAACCTCCTCAGCCTACAACAACTGAATCAATCATCATCCCTAATGTTCCTCCAGTTCCTCCAAAGGTAAAAGTTTTTATCTATTAACATACGAAAACAATCATATCAGCCCAATTATTAAAATTCTTGGCCGATATTGACTTCTAATTTTCGGCCACAACTATTATTGGCCGAAACAAACTTTAATAAAACTTCCATCTCCAGGGGAAAAGAAAGAAATCAACTGCTCATGGCACTTTAAAAAGAACAAGATTGAGCAAACGTAAGAAACAGGAAGTGGAAGAAAATCTAGAAAGCCTTCATCCTACAGAAGACGTGGCCGATGACCCCGTAATTAATGTGACTGACACTCCTTCTGATCATTCCTCAGATGAAAAAGAGGTAAAGATAACTGTACTTGAAATTTCCAAACTTTTCAATTAATATGGTCCTTAATTTCTTCTCTTTTGCAGCAATCTCCTCTTCTTGACTTGGTCTATAGCCCAGTTAGAAATTTCAGCCCTCTGAAGGATTTTCATGATCCCATTGAGGTGCCCTTCAATGTTCAAGTCACTCCTGCTAAAACTTCATCCCAGGGAGATAGCACAGCGGTTCAGCCAGAATTTCCTCCTCCAGAAATCAGTCATCAGCCACTCTTAGTGACAGACATAGCCGAATCATCTAAGGTATTGACTATCTCATATCCCCAAAAAAAAAAAAAACTTAAAATCTAATCTTTCCTCATTTTGTCAGGTTGTGTATGAGAAAACTCAAATTATTCCTTTACTTCCTCCACAAAAAGTTCCTGCTTCATCCCTATTGGCTTTGAGCAATTTTTTTAAGGATGTGGTGGCTTCAGTGACCGAAGAGAAAGAAAGTGAATCTTCTGGAGCCACCCCAGTCACTTCAACCAATATCCCTATACAATCCTTAGAAGAGACCAAAAAATCTTTACTTGAGATCTTGAAAAGGGATGCTGCTGATCTTCCTAATTTTGAAAGTGAACTCACAGCAGTGCTTTCTACACTCAGCCAGTACCCAGACTTTCCGGTTGATCTTCAAGCCACTATTGCTACCTTTAAAGGCCAGCTACCAACTTTGACCGATAATATTTTCCAAGCCAATGAAGCAATCAACCAATTCAACCAGAGTAAAAACAGGAAGGATACCCTTGCTAATCAATTGTTAATTCAAGCTTCCTCCTTTGAAAGAGTGAATACAGAGTTCATCGACCTTGAGGAAAGAGAACATGTCCTTCAGAAAGAGATCGACCAGATCCATGCTCGTAAGGCCATCTTGTCTGCTGAAGCTGCCACATTGCAGTTTGAAGCTCAAGACCTTGCTCACGAGCATGCAAATCTTCGTGGAGAATTACCTCAATTGGAAGAGTCAAAGAGGCAGGCCATGGTGGCCTTCAATCGGTCCTTAGTTATTTGGGCCGATTTCAAGGAAAAATTTGCAAACATATGAATTTTTTATATTAGCTTCCTTTTGTGGCCATCTTAGTGTATGATTTTTAAATGATGTAATCTTTTACACTTCAATGAATAAATGGCCTCTTTTGTTTCTCCAAACAAGCATCAACATTTTAGCGAGAAAAAATTTATTAAAATAGCCAAATCAGCCTAGAAAAAT